CTGAAGCTTTTGTAGATAATTTATAGAATCCTGGTTTAATACAGCACCCCATACAGTACAACAGTAGTTCAGCTTAGACAATATTAACGCTTCAGCAATCGACTTTAGAACTGTAGGTGGCATGTATTTCTTTAATCTGGTTAATAGGCCAAGACACTTGGAACAGTCTTTGAGGAGTTTCTCACAATGTGGCTTCCAAATTAGGGTATCACCAAGGAGTTTTATGCATGAATATTGCTTTATATTCTTGTAGTTCATACGTAAGTTAAGAGGTTGTGCAACTTTTACTTTTTTCCGGCTTCCAATTAGCATGCTTTTGGTCTTATCAGTATTGAGGATCAAACGATTTTTCAAAACCCATGCCTCAATATTAGATAAATCACTTTGGAGATTAGCAGATACAACATTGACTCTATCAGCAGCTTGAAATGGAGTACTATCATCAGCATACAAAGTGATATCGGCTGTAGTTAAGGCGGTAGGTAAATCGTTAATAAACAAGCTAAAAAGCAATGGGCCAAGACAACTACCCTGTGGTACCCCACATTCGATCTCAGTTGGATGAGAATATGCTCCATTAATGTAGACAGTTGAAGTTCTATCAGATAGATATGAATTAATCCAGTTGATGGCACTATTTGAAAAATTATAACATTTTAATTTTGCTAGTAATAAATTGTGGTCAACTAAGTCAAAAACTGCACTAAAGTCCAACATGATGGCACCAGTAAGCAAACCATTTTCCATGTTTTCAAGGCAGTGATCAACCAGATGTATTAGTGCCGTTTCAGTGCTGTGATTGTTCCTATAAGCATGTTGATTCATTACTAGTATATTATGTTCAGCAAGGTAGTGAGACATTTGTTGATAAGCAGATTTTTCTTGCAGTTTACTTAAAACATTTAGCAACCTGATGGGTCGACTGTTATAGTCTTCGAATGCTTTCTTCTTATCTTTAGGTATAAGATGTAATTTAGCTATTTTCCACTGATCGGGAAAAATCGATTTAGCATAAGAGCAATTAAAAATGTGTCTGATCGGTTCAGCAATAATGTTCAAAGCTGTTTTGAGTAGATAGTTATCAATACAATCTACTCCCGTCACTTTACTAGTTGGAAGATTCGCAAGGCAACTTTGAACTTCTGATATACTTAGAGGTCTGAATTCAAAATTACAGTTTTTATCAGCCATGATGTTGTTAATTGATCCAGTTACATACTCTAAGTCAATCGATTCAACCATCTCAGATCTATATTTTTTAATTTTTTCATCAAAAAACTTAGCAAAGTGATTGGCAATTTCAACAGGTTCAGAAAAAACTTTTCCATTACTTTCAACACTAGTTGGGCTTGAGTAACATGAATGCCCTAATAAATTATTAATTGTTTTCCACATAGATTTCGCATCCTTACTGTCGTTGATGGCATTATGAAAATACTCTTTCCTACTTTCTCTGTTAACATTAACCACATAATTCCTCAACTTACGATAAACGGCCCAATCTGATGGATAACCAGAAATCTTCGCTTCTGATTTAGCCATATCCCTCATCTTCATTAAGTCACGAATATTATCAGTAAGCCAGGGGGCAGATTTTGTTTTGACCGTAAACTTCCCTAATGGAGCATGTTTGTCTGCAATATTTTTAAATAATTCCATAAAAACATCCAGAGCCTTATTAGGATCATCAAAAGACTCAACCATCCAAAACGGGACATACTTTAAGTCATTGATGAAGCTATTGTGCGAAAAATGTTTATAACTACGTTTATACACAATTTTGTGGGGACCTTTGGGAATTTTAGTTTTCATAGACAATACAGTGAGGTCATGGTCCGTAAATCCCATTTGAATTACTTTACTCTTGAAAACTCTTTCGCGCCGGTTGGTGAATACAAGGTCAAGGCAAGTTAATGTATTAGAACGAGTTGTACATACTGTTCCAGTTGGCTCATTAATAGTTTGAGTTAGACCACAGATCCTGGAATACGCGAGCAATTGAGAGGATTCATTCTCGTCGAGCCAGTTCTTATTAAAATCACCCAGTATATAAGTATCCCTCCCTTCATCTGTTGCTTTCTCCCAAGAGTCAAATACGTTTTTCATAAAAGTACTGCTTACGCTCGGTGGACAGTAAAATATGCCAACTAATATCACAGGAGCATGCAGTTGATGAAACTCAGCCCACAATACCTCAATATCCGGAGTACATAGATCTTCCCTTACCCTTCCAACAAAACAATCTTTATAATACAAACCGACACCACCTCCATGACTATTTCTATTTCTCTTCAAAAATTGATAACCCTCAATAACCAGCGACCTATCCAGAACGAAATCGTCTAACTTTGTCTCAGTAAGACCAAGAAAATGGATTCCGGTATTAACCAACACGTCACATATCTCATCGATTTTATTTCTAAGACCATTGACATCGACATGACCAATGTGTAGATGTTTCTTCGATAAGGTAGGGTAGTTAGGACCTGGATTTAATAGTAAAGCGACATCTCCCGAATTTGATTGTATAAGTCAACTACATGGGAAAAAATTCGAAGTTGTATGGAACTTAGATCAGATGAACTAATTAGACGTAGTGCAGTGTTGCATATATGTACAGAGATGAGCTCTATAGCTCATGAAGTGTTGCCTTTATGTTCGAAAGATCTGATATCAAGTGAGGGAAAGTATCATGGCTCTTGTTATAAAAGTTTTGTTCGCATATCTTATGATCCTTCAGCCTCTGTTTCAAAACCAGCTGAGAACAGGGGTGCACATTAGGGGGATGTGGAAACATCTTTTAATACATACATACATTTCGACTATCCCGTCAGCGAGGGACAGGGTGTATCTTTGAGGACGAGAAGGCTGAGGCACACCGAATAATATTTGGAAGTAAGGTATGTAGCACTTTAGTATTTACATTGTTCTCACTTTAAGTGTCGTTTTATTTTTATATGAATAATACATTTTGATGGAACGTTTCAATCACCTCATTATATCGGCTGTTATTGTGTGCTAATTTAAATACTTTGTGCCGACATTTCTTCTAGATGCCAAATAAACGCTTTAAAGTAACATGTGCCTTGTGTAACAAAGTGTTTGACAACGATTATAAGTCAAAACATTGTAAGGCTGTTCACCCAACAGATAACACGAATACGTTACCGCTTGTTGATAAAAAACAGACTAAACTGGTATGTATGTTTCAGGTTTTGCAAAAATATAATTATTAATTATAGCTAGATACAAATGTTGGCCGATGAATCATGAATGTATTCAATGACGCAGAAATTATAGCAGGCGCAGTGAGGCGCTATAGACGCATAGGTGTCGAATTTAATTCGTCGCATAAAATTGCTGTTCACCCTACCAAGAGAACAACTTTTCTAAAATCTGTCCATTATTCGTCCATTATAAATTTGTCTGAATTAAATTTGACCCAAATGTATCGCTTGCCGAAGCTGCCGTTTATATCTTACTTGTGTTATTTTATTTAAATACTATACAGTGCTAGTGGTATTAATATAATACGACTATATACAACATACTATAGTACTAAATGTTGATTAAGGCTGGTTTCCATTTAATCGTTACGATCGCTTCAGTCGTTACGATCGCTGAAAAAATTTACAAGCGACCGTAGCGATTAAATGGAAATCAACTAGCTGGCGATCCCAGCAACTACGACGATCGTAACGATCATGATCGCTGAGATAGAAAAAGTTCTATCTCAGCGATCGTAATGACCCCAGCGACCATATGGAAACGGAACTTTAGCGATCGCAATGATCATGGCGACGAAATGGCAATCCCATAAACCATTACTGTGTATCATATTTCAATATGGCGTCATTTGATGCTCACAGTTTTATGGAAGAAGTTCGAAAATATCCCTGCTTGTATAACAAGTACGACAAAGAATACAAAAATAAATACATCAAAGTTAACTGCTGGAAAAAGATTGCAGAAAAATTTGATATTGAGGCTCAACTAGCAGAACAAAAGTTTAAAAATCTTCGAACAGCATATGGACGGTTTTTGAAGCGAAAGAAATCAGTGCGTTCTGGTTCTGGAAGGGAATCAGTACCAGTTGTTCCTAGGGAATTTATCAATTTAGGATGGCTTCAAGGACATATGTCTTTCAGAGCTAATACTGCAAGCAATTTTGATGTACACATAGAAGGAGAGGAAGAAGACGAAAATGAGATCATTTCAATTGATAGTGCTGAGTCAAGTTTGGAAGTCAGCGAAATTTCTTCTGACAAACACTCAGCTGACTCATCAATAAATATTGATGACATTGAAGAGTTTATTTATGGCAATACATTAGAGAGCTTTGCAGAGGAAATGGCATCAAAAAGCACAACAGAATCTCCAAGGGAGGAGGAAAATAAAAAAATGAGACGCCTGTACAAAAACCTGCCAGTACACGCCCATGGAGTAAATACAACAAAAAAAAACAAAAGAGTTGGATGAAGTGGATAAAGCCTTTATTAATTCATGCCAGTATTTTGCAAATCACATAAAGAGGACTGAAGGAGATGAAAAAGAAACAGTCAAAGAGCCAGAGTGCGAAGATAGTTTATTTTGTAATAGTCTTGTTGCAAGAATGAGAAGACTTGATCAACATTCAAAAGCTTTCATTAGAATGAGTATTGAGCAGTTGTTTTTTCAAGTCGAGTCTTCAAAACATGCAGCACAAGACAACTCCACAATCATGAATGATGTCAATCAAAACACCCAAAGAAGGTATTCAGCAGAGAATGGATACACATATGTACATTTAAATTGAACTGTGGCTGTTGTTTATTGACTTTGAATTTCAGTATTAACACATGTTCTACTTGCTATTGAGTTAATTTACACACATGTATTATATTTCATATTTTTTATAACTTCTGATACTTTAAACTGTAGAGTTGTTAACTTGGTACTAGATGCTAGAAACTAAAAACTTTGAACTGTTGAGTTGTTTAACTTCATTGGTACTAGATAATAGAAACTAGATACTTTGAACTGTTGAGTTGTTTAAAATAAAGTCATGATTTAACTGTATTCTGACCACAACTCCTGACATAGTCCAACTGCCAAGAAACCTGTCCTTCATTGTTCACATAATCCTTAAAATCTCCTCTTGCTTTGTTGGCTTCAAATGTGTATCTATTGCCAGCTATTCTACCAATACTCCTTATTCCCTGTGCATCAACTTGTGTAGTGTTTCTCCAATCACCCAGAATTATTTGGCCACTTGCATTTTCACTGTCAACAAAGCCAGAGGGTGAATACATGGCATTATCAGTCAGTTGCAGGTAGTTGTGTAAACATACAGTAGCCATGGTAATCTTCTCCACTAGCTCCAGGCTTGCTTGTATTGGTCTCCTAAACACCCTCCATTTCACTGATAAAATTTCAAATGCATTTTCAATTGTGCGTCTTGCTCGAGATAGCCTGTAGTTGAAAACTCTTTGGGACTCATCCAAATTTTTGCCAGGATATGGTTTCATAAGCCATGGCTTTAGGGGAAATATATCATCCCCTAATAATACATAAGGTAAGCTTGTGTTTCCACAAGTGGCTGGGGAAGGTATATTCAACATGGTAGGGAAATCATTAAATGCTTGTCCAAACTGAGTGTGTGATAAAACAGCTGCATCATTTGTTCCACCATATGCTCCAATGTCAACAAATGAGAAACAGTACTTGGCATCACAAATTGCAAGTAAAACAATGCTGTGAAAATTTTTATAATTATAAAAAGCAGAGCCAGCATTTTGGGGGCATTCTATCATGATGTGTTTCCCATCAATTGCCCCAATACAGTGAGGGAAATTCCATTCTCTCTCAAATTCATTTGAAATTTCAATCCATTCCTCAGCTGTTGATGGTGCTTTCAAATAATCTTTCTTCAGTGCTGACCAAATTGCCTCCGAAGTTTCTCTAAGAATGTTAGAGATTGTCGCTTTTCCAATCCGAAATTGAAAGGAGAGTGTTTGTTGAGAGTCCCCTGTGGCAAGGTATCTCAAAGTAAGAAGTAACCTTTCTGATTCACTGATTGTTTTACGTGACCTGCAAAATTTCTTCGTTATTAAAGGTCCAACAAGAGTTAAAAGATGTTCAAATCTCTCTGGGGACATTCTTATGAACCTGCAAATTTAAGTTGAGATTCCATCAAGAATTTATTAATAAAGTAATTTTATGGTAAAAAGTACTCACTTGTAAAAAAATTCTCGGTCATGTAGTCTTAATTCTTTAACTAATGTGTGAAAACTACCAAGTTGCTCCCTTTCCTCGTATATTTTTCTGACCCAAAATCTATGCTTTCTTCGCTTCAATTTCTTCTTTTTCTGGCGTCGTCGTCTGAACATTCCCAAAAGGTTTAGGAACAAAGCTTCTAATAGCAAACGCTTGTTTACCGCTGCCATTTTTAAACTTTCGCGGCACAATTGTATGCAAAAAGTGCAGCAATCATATGGAAATCAACAAACGATCGGGATCGTTACGGTCGCTCGTAATTTTTTTTTAGCGATCGTAACGACTGAAGCGATCGTAACGATTAAATGGAAACCAGCCTTTAAATGTAGAAAAGAATTGACATGTGATATTGAAAACGAAAATTGACATTTAATATTGTCTTGTAATCATTTAGAATTTTAATGTTAGCAGTAGCAGCAGTACTCCATCAGATTTCCAAAGTTCGTTAGGACAACATTCAGACCAGGTTTGTCATTTTGTGTAATAGTATATTTCACAATTTATTCACCGAAGTAGAAATAAATTAAGTTAGATATCTACCAAGACCGCAAAGAGGCATAACGTCGGGGTATCTCCTGCTGTTTATTGGCACTGAAGTAAATAATTGTTTAACTTTTAAACTAGACTGACTAGTATATACTCAAACGATGCTATTGATGCTGAAATGCGCCATACATTAGAATTGCTGGCTGATGTAATATGGCTATTGATTGTCATTACAAAATAACCGCACAGGCGTGTGTATGTATACTAATAATTTTTCTTATATTATACAGAGCATAATCAGCAAAAGACAATGGCCAGAGAAAGGAGAAAGCGACTCCTATCGGTCAGAAACGAGAGAGAAACGCACTCGGATGGATGATGATGAACCGACTGATGAACCTATTGATGAACCGACTGATAAACCGATAAATGAACCGATAGATGAACCGCCAGATGAACCGATTGATGAACCGACTGATGAACCGACTGATAAACCAATAAATGAACCGATAGATAAACCAATTGACGAACCGATAGATGAACTGATTGATGGACCGCCAGATGAACCGATAGATGAACCGACAGCTGAAATGATTTATGGACCGATTGATGAACCGACAGCTGAAACGATTTATGGACTGATTGATGAACCGATTGATGAATTGAATGTATCTTCTGATGAAAGTCTAACTAAATCAGATAGTGACCAGGTACGGTGCATACTTTTAGTAAGTTAATCCTTTTGTGCAATGTTTAAGTTGTTAACTTTTTGTTTGCAGGGGAAAATTTACTTTGCCATTACATTCAGTTCTTATTTTGTGTAACAGGAATATCGAAAGCACAGTGATTCCACACAGAACGACCAAAACATCGCGAACGAAGGCAAAACCTGGATATCGTGTTTTGGCAAACTCCGATTTCTATGTGGAAATCTAAACGAATGTCAACAGTTAGTATCGAAGGTTGAAAATGTTGACGCGCCACAGCCTGACATTTTGCTTAGTGAACTTGTTGATGTGGTAGAAAGAGTCAAACAAGTTTCGTCTTCTCTCCTCTCTGACGTTCGCGAGGTACTGGCAAACAATGATGCCCAAGAAATAATGAGTCAAAAAGTTTCAGCTGCCACGTTTGATCCAATTGACCAAGATCCAGGCTGTAGAAGGCCCATTGTGACTGACAAGGACAAACTGTACGTCATCCAGCAAGGTCCATTCCAGCCAAAATTTGGGCGATATCCAAAAAATGCTGACATCCCTGCATCTAAACAATGCCACTTTTCATCTGCCTGGTTCATTACCTATCCACACCTTGAATACTCGGTGAAAAAAGATGCAGCATTTTGTTTTGTTTGCCAGCTTTTTCCATCCGGCATTGGCACAAAACATGACCAGGGCTGTAAAGCATGGGCAGTGGAAGGCGTTAGAGCTTGGCACAAGATGAAAAGTTGCGGGAAAAACAAGCCTGGGAAATTAGCTGAACATTTTTCAAGTGCAAGTCATCGCGCGGCCCATTCAGCTTTAGTGTCGTTCCAGAGAAAGTCCACCAATGTCGACCTCTTACTGGATAAATGTCGCAGAAGCAATTTGATTGAAGAAGTAGCGGAAACACAGCGGAATCGAGAATCGATCAAAATCCTTTTGGACGTTGCAAGGACACTCGCACGGCAGGGGATTGCATTTCGTGGTTCAGCATCACAGAAAGATGGAAACGGGAATTTTCGTCAAATTGTTAATCTCTTAGCACGTCATTCTCCCGTCCTTCGCAGATGGTTGGCTGACGCCTCAAAACAATCTCACAGGGTGGACTACCTCAGTTTGAGATCTCAAAATGAGTACCTTCAGCTATTGGCGAGCAATGTTTCGGACAGAGTAGTATCCGAAATACGTGAAGCTGAGATGTTTGCTGTCATCGCTGACACGACACCTGATGTTTCGCACATGGATCAACTTTCTGTGGTTGCACGGTATGTGGACCAAGAAGGACATGCACAAGAGCGTCTGGTGGATATGCGAGAAATTTCAGATAAAACAGGAGAAGGTCACGCTAAAGCAATCCTGACTGCTTTAAACGAAAGAAGCATAAGTCATGCAAACGTCGTCTTTCAGTCTTATGACTACACGTCGTCCATGTCTGGCATTTTCAAAGGCTGCCAATGAAAATGAAGGAGCTGCTTGGAAGAGAAGTCCCTTATTTGCCATGTCTTGCTCACCGTGTCAACACGACTGTGGAGCATAGCTGTGAAGCAAGTGCTTCTGCATGTCAAATGTTTGAAGTTCTGCAGGAACTGTTTGTCTTTTTCACATCCAGAGGTATGCCGTATTTCGCCAGAAAGTTAGTGAAGATGATGTTGAAAATGCGTTAGATTTGACAAATCTTTCGGTAACGCGTTGGGTGGCCCGTGCAGATTCTATTCGTGCTGTCTGGTGAAGCTATGAAAAGATAATCGAGGCATTAACTGAGCTAGAATGTGTGGAAGACGTGAAAACCAAAACGAAGGCGAAGAATTTGCTCGTTAGAGTTTGTTCGTTCGAGTTCCTTGTCATGCTTATGTTTATGAGGAATGTCATGGTGAAAACTAAGATACTGACGAAACAACTTCAGACGGTTGACATCAACGTCGTCAATACTCTTGAGGCTGCTAAAGCAACCATCGCCACATTACGTCATCTACGAAACGATGAAGGAAATCTTAACAGGCAGATAGAGGCAACCATAACATTTTCAGCTCGTATTGGAGTTGATGCTATTGCTGAGCACCAACGACATCATCGTCCCAGACGTAAGCCAAAAAGAATTGACGAGCAGTCTGAGAATGAAGCACATTTGAGCCTAAATGAATATTATCGGAAAGAGTTCATTCAGATCCTTGACTACCAAACTGCTGCCCTTTCAGATAATGTCAAAGTTGCCTTCGACACCATTGCTCCATGCATTTCGCTGCTTCTTCCACCGTACACAGAAGAGCCCAAACAGAAAGATATTGACTCTCTGGTTGAATTGCTTCCTCTATTATTACAGCCCGACGCCGAGGTCTTAGATGTCGAACTTACTATGTTTAGACAACATTGTAGTAATGACATGCCGAATGTTAAAACGCTTGAAGAGGCCGCACGTTGTGCTAAAGAGAGAAGGACAGTTTTCCCCTTGGCAAACAGATGTTTCCAGCTACTTCTGACAGTGCCTATCACATCTTCATCAAGCGAACGTAACTTTTCAAAGCTGAAATTGATCAAGACTGCCATTCGCTCAGCGATGAAAGAAAGAAGGCTAAAGGACTTAATCATACTTGAGTGTGAAAAAGACCTTACAGATACAATCGACCTGGAAACTGTTGTTGATCGTTGGGCTAAGCTTTCAAAAACACGACGCCTTATTTCTGTTGCGTGATCTTTGGTTCTGTGGTGAACAATCATAAAACTGTCATTTCTATTTTAGAATGTCATTTAAACTTTATTTCTGTGAGCATTTGCTATAACTGTAAATATTTTCTAATTTCTATAGAGGCTACGCGCATTATTAAACTTTGCATGATTTAATACATAGGCCCAGTTTACATTAGCAAAGTTTCTGTGAACACAGTAGAGATTTTACATGGAAAATTCTAGGTTTGAAAGGTTTTGAATTAATGTTTCAGGAAACTGACTTTGTGTGTACTTTTGAATAGTTTTCCTGAAATATTTATTACTAAACTTTAAAAACTTTATCCATGTAAAATTCCAACTGTGATCACAGAAACTTTACTAGTGTAAACCGGGCCATACAGTTTTACTACTGTATACTACGTGTAATAAGTACTATCAAATTTGAACAATTGTGAACATTATTGATGCTATGGCCTATACAATAGTAAATAAAGACATACTTCTTGAGGATCTTTATGCCTATTTAAAATATTTCACATAATATCAATTACACTGTGGTATTAAACCAAATTCACAGGCTCACAGCTTTTGATTTTACAAATTTATGAATACCGGCTGTCTAACTATACAATCAATTTGATTGAGCACAAACGCTATACAAAAGTCGGTCCCAGAAAATAGGACACCCCCCCATTATTTTTGTGAATGTGCCCCCCCCTGAGAAAGATTAATCAAATATCGATAGAGTATACAAGTCAGTATACAAGTTTTGTGTTGATTTGCTCAAAAACCCGGGAGTTGATGATTTGCAATTGATAAAGGATTTGATGACTAAGGAATCAAATAATCTTAACATTGATATGCCCCAGTCTCATTACAAGAACATACTGAGAAAACTCTCCAGTAAATTTGAAAATGAACTGCATTTTATTCATATAACCAACAAGGTTATACTGGTTTATCCCAATTCATTGTCTAAAGATGAGTTAGTTCGTAAAAACTACAAGTATAAGGCTGAGCTTGAATCATGAAAT